ACAGGGCAGGGAATAGACACAAGATAATTTGGGTATTGGGTAGGGGGGCAATATACAAGAAGGGAGAGGGGAATCGAAGAACAAAGCAGATGAGAGAACAAATAGACAGGTATAAATGGGCCAATTGGGACAGAGGTAAAAAATGATGTAGACACAGCTTTGGAACAACAGGGCTCTGGAATACAGAGACTGGGAGAATAATGTTAAGATGCTTGGCTATTTTTTGAACCTTGGTTTTCCTTGCAATACATTATAAGACAGACACCGGAGGGGGAGAAAAAGGAATAACCAGAAATGGAAAGCTTGTAAGCCCGTCTTCTGCCTATAACTGATTAGAATACCTAAAATGGGGCTACAATGTGTCCAGTGAAGGAGGTTTACTGAGGAGCCCCTGCATTACATGGGAGTATAGGTGGAAGCCCGAACCACAACCAGACCTTCAGAGACGGGAAATTTCTCCACTTGAAACAACAAGCAGACCAGCCGGGAGCAGCTAGAAAACCAGAAGATACCTCTTGAAAAAAGGACCTACAGGAAAAATACAAAACAATCAGGGCAGTCTGACTGTTACCACAAGAACATACAGGTGGCCTGCCCAGGAGACATCAAGGCAAGTGATCGGATCCTCTCAGTGCAAATTCTCTTCCAAGACTAAGACGCAAGGGAAATATACACTTTGACTGACAACCACGCACGTCACCCAGAAGGGGACGTGGCCGAAGAACATCAACGAAGGGGCGAGCTAAGCCCTACATCGTTCAGCAAACTACTGTGAACCCGGATGAAGACCTGGTCAGCCAGTAGCAAGGTAACATCTGGGGACTCATGGGCTCAGGGTCAGTGACACAGCCACAGAGGTCTATAGTGGAGAGTGGGGCGGCCAGCTGATAAAAAGAGGCTGGATAGACGTAAGAACTCCCACACTTGCAGATGATGCCCATTTGACTGGACTTCAATGACTGGATAAACAGAGCTCAACCCTAAGAAAGAAGAGGGAAAAAAGCATCATCTGATACAATTTGATAAACATGACTTACACCTATAAATGCAAATGCAGTAGCTCAAAAGAGGAAACAAGTCCCTGCTGCAAGAACTATACCCAACCCCTCCACACAAAGGGTAGACAGGGATGGGCAAATTGGACATTGGCTACCCAAAATGGGGGGAGGGATACAAAGGCAAGAAGTGACTGGCTTACAAGCTTTCAAGAGGGAACCTAGATCCAGAGGGTGTGGAGGAAGGTAGAGTCTACAATGAGTGGTGTCCAGCCTGTCCAGGAAGGGCTGATGAAACGAATTAATAGATGGGTCTCGGAATGCAATGGTGAATAATTGTTATCAGGACTGATTGTGAGGGTTTGAAATCTAAAGATGGACATTTTGTAACAAAGAGGGGAGAGATTAATTTTTTATCAGTCTAGGAGCGGAGGACCCTGGAACCATCAATGGAGAAGAGCAAAGAGCGGAATCCTACCCAGAGAGGCAGTGAGGCCTGGGATGGAGGCAGAGAAGACAACGTCAAGAGATGGTGGGGCTGGGGCTCGGGATCAGGAGATGGAAAGGGGCTGAGGACTGTGGTGGGAGGGGGGTGCAGGTTTACAGGGTACACCCCTTGGTTGGGTGAGGATGCATGGACAGGATAACTATGCCAACGAAATGATGGATGATGGAATGAATGTAAAGCTGATGCTCTCCCGTGTAGATTATCACACAATTCACAAAACATTAAATAAAAACAAAAAAAAATTACATCAAAGTAAATGAGAGTTGTACAGTTAATTCAACAGGAGGACTTTAAAGTAAGTGTCTCCGTTGAAAAGACAATAAATAAAATGAGAGAAAAAAAATTTTTTTAATTTGACTTTCTTTACAACTAACCCTCTTACATTCTTTTGAAGCTTCTCGATTTTCACAGAGTCAAATAAATGCTTTACAGGTTGTTGTTAAGTGTCTGTGACTTGGTTATAGCTCATTGGTACCCTGTATAATATTGCCAAGGAGCGGCTGGTGGGTTTCAACCAGCAACCTAGCAGTTAACAATCTAGTGCTTACCACACCAGAACCCCCAAAGCCTACACAGAGGCAGCAAAAGTACTTATTACAGAAGAGTCCCAGACACTAACTAGAGTGAGCTCACTCACTCAGTAGAGGCAGTCCCTAAAGGGACCTTCTGGGTAGATTCCCCACCTCCCTGAAGCATTCCTGCAGATATGAAAACTTACCATTCTGACTGCATACCTGTCAAGCCTCAACCAGACCTTACTGAGGACACTATACAAAAATATCCCTAAATAACAACCAACCACTGTCACTCCCTGGAAAGAGCTTAGGAGTAAAATTCTTTTCAAATTGGAGAAAAAGAGATGGAAATATGTAGCGTTTCCCTTACGGAAAAGAAAAAAAGTGTACCACAAATAATATTCAGCACTCAAATATTTCACTAACTGTAACAGGTAATTACTGTTTCAATCTGATTTGAAATGAAAACTTTGTAGTAAGAGTTATGAGACTCATTTCACTTTTCAAAACCATCTCATTAAATGTTCATAACATATGAAAGTCAATCCATATGAAAGGATTCTCTGTAATGTGTATGAGTGCATATGGGGCTTCAGTTACTTCAGTTTCAGCAGTTCAGGTAGCTGTCCTGGCTTAGTGCTGGAGGATCAGCACTGGAATGCATGGTCAGTTTCAATCACCAGGTCAGCCATTCAAACTCACCAGCCGCTCCTCGGAAACCCTATACGGGTCGCTAGGAGTCAAAACTGACTCGACAGCACTTAACAGCATCATCCTAATATAATTAAATAGTTTGGGGGAAGTCACAGAGAATGATTTTAAATTTAGGTCTTGTTAAGCATCATCGAGTCAGTTCCGACTCATAGAAACCCTATATAGCATTTCAGAGGAATGGCTAGTAAGCTTGAACCACGGATCCTGCAGTTCAAACCAACTTTGCAGTCTAACGCATTAACCCTCAGCACTACACCAGGATTCCACATTTAGGTATATAAAACACACATCAAATTTAGGTATATGTATGTAATGTACACAGAATACAAGTATGTTGTTTGTTGTCCTCGAGTCAGTTCTGACTAAAGGCAGCCCCAGAGGATTTCCAAGATGAGCCCTTTCAGGAGCAAACCACCAGGCCTATCTTCCCTCTGGATGGCTGGGAACCACTAACCTTTTGCTTAGTAGACAGGCACTTTAACTGTTTGTACCACACCGGCTCAACTATATATGTACACAGACCTGAGTCTAAGTGTAATAAAAAATGAACACTAATTACCTCTGGATTATATGACTGTTTATAATTACAAGTTTCTAGTTATTTGTCTTCTTAACTTGCCTACAATAAAGAAGCTAACATTTTTAATGTTATATTCCGTTGGACTCTTTCCTCATCTAGTGTGCCACCTAAATTCCACTAAGGAATAATATTTTTTTAAGTTCAGTGCCATTTTTCTAAAGTTGTCCATGTTTCCAGGTACTCTGGTAAACCATTCTAAGCAGAAGGAAGTTCCACATATGTAAACTTACTATACATGAACTTTTAGGGACTGCCAAGTCAAACTCATTCAATATTTACCTTCATCATACATTTCTTCTATTAAATAGGCCTCCGCTCGGTCTTTCAGAGCATTCACATTGTCAGGTTCTATCTGTAAAACCTCAGAACATATTCTAATAGCTTCAACAGGCTTTTCATCCTAAGAGTAAAAGTTAGAAAAGGGTTTACAGTTTTTCCTACAAACAATTTTACAGCTTGTTTTACAACTGTGAACAGGTCTCCATTGTACCTTAGAATAGCAGTGACAGATCCTTTCTTTTGAACGAATTGTATATTCAGAAACACTTGGCTCTGTTTTCATTACAGACTCATATTTGCTGGTCGCATCTGTGTATCTATTAAATAAGCAAATTATAATGAGAAACAATAAAAGTCTATTTCCAGAGCTGTTGAAAGACCCTCCACTCTTCACTAAATATTGCTTAATCGATTCCCTGAATGAACACAAGCCCTCAAATATGACCTTACCTTATCAGTCTAGTGTAGCATGGAAGGTACTCTCTACAATTAAGTCAGCAGGTAAAACACACGACCAAAGAAAATGAAGAAGGACCAATTAAAGCATACTTGTGAATACCAATCAAACCAAGTGATGACTTGGTGTTGAGAAAACCTTCATGAATTCGAAATTCAGTAAAACATAAAACACCTTGTTGAAGTCTGGCTTACACCTAGCACTTTCAGGCCAGACACAGATTATGTTTTATTTCATGGTTACTTCTCCCTTTCATGAGCAACAGAACCCATTTACATGTCATTTCATATCATGATTGCCAATACTCACAACTAAGTACACTGTAGATAGCCAAGCAGAAACAGTCTGCTTCAATATTCAACTTTACAACCTTTCTAAACAAAAGCTGTTTCAGCAATGTTTAAAAACTGAATACATTGGTGAAAAGCACTAGCATGTTAAATTACTTTCCTCAGTAATACTACAAGATTTATCTACATGCAAATAATAATAATAACCCTCTGTCATCCAGCTGGTTGTGACTCGTAGCGACCCTATAGGACAAGTAGAGAACTGCCCAACCACGTTTTTAAGGAGCTGGTCCTTACAAAAGGACCTTCTCCTGCCTATAGGCTATAATGGCACACTATTTCCAATACAAAGCAATCTTTACATTTAAAATCTGATGTACCAGGTGTAAGCATAATATTTAAACAAAAAGCTTGTTCTGCTTCCAGGAAGGTGTTGCTGCTGTTGTTGTCGTTGTTGTCAGGTGCCATCGAGTCGGAACCAACTCATAGCGACCCCATGCACAGCAGAACGAAACAATGTACGATCCTGGCCAACCTCACTACCGCTACCACACTTGACGCCATCAATGATGCCACCTGGCTGATCCATCTCATTGGGGGGGTCTTCCTCTTTTTCTCTGACCCTCCACCTTACCCAGCATGACATCCTTCTCCAGCGACTGTTCTCTCCGGACAATGTGTCCAAAGTATGAGAGATGAAGCTTAGCCATCTTGGCCTCCAAGGAGCACTCTGGTTGTTGTTGTTAGTTGCCATCAAGTCAGTACCGCCCCATAGTGACCTTATGCACAGCAGAAAGAAAACACTGCCCATCCTGGACAACCTCACTACTATTGCCATGCTTAAGCCCATTGATGCTGCTACTTTGCCAATCCATCTCAATGGGGTCTTCCTCTCTTTCTCTGAAGTATGAGAGACGAAGTTAGGCCATCCTGGCTTCCAAGGAGCACTCTGGCTGCATTTCCTCCAACACAGATCTATTGGTTCTTTTGGTAGCCCATGGCACTTTCAGTATTTTCCTCCAACTCCGTAACTCAGAAGCATCAGTTTTTCTACGGTCTTTCTTATTCACTGTCCAGTTTTCACATGCACATGAGGTTATTGAAAATACCATGGCTTGGGTCAAGCACACCTTAGTCTTCAAGCGGATATCTTTGCTCTTCAACACTTTAAAAAAGATCTTGTACAGCAGATATGCCTAATGCAATACATCATTTGATTTCTTGACTGCTGATTCCATGAGTGTTAATAGTTGATCCAAGAAGAATTAAGTCCTTGACAACTTCAATCTTTTCTCCGTTGATAAGCCTGTTGTTTATTGGTCCAGTGGTGAGGATTTTTGTTTTCTTTACATTGAGCTGCAATCCAGGAAGGTGAAGTAGATGTATTTTTCAAATTCCTCCAGCTGAAAACAAAATCTCTAGAGTTAATGTATTATAAAAACACTGAAGGGATTCAGACAGCCAACCTTGCAAATTCAGGGCAAGACGGTGGCAGAATATTCCAGAGCACTAATTGTGCTCATGAGAAACCTGTACATAGACCAAGAGGTAATAGTTCGAACAGAACAAAGTAACACTGAATGGTTTAAAGTTAGGAAAAGTGTGCACCAGGTTTTTTTTTTTTAATGCTCTATTGTGAATTATGTGATAGTTTACATGGGAGAACATTAGTTTTACATTCATTCTATCATATATCGTCTCATTGCCATGGTTACAATCCCCTCCATGCAAACCCTCCCCCCGTACCCCCCAGGTCTTCAGCACACAGTCGCTCTCCCTCTCTGGATCCAAAGTCTCCAGCTGCTCCACCGCTCCACGTCATCATCTCTGGCTCCATTTCAGGCATCTCTGCTTCTCTGGGTAGGGTCCCGCTCTCTGCTCTTCTCCCTTGATGGTCCTAGGGACGCCTGCTCCTAGACTGAAAAGTTAATCACTCCCCTCCTTGCTATAAAACATCTACCTTTACATTTCTGACCCTCACACACAGTCCTGATAACAATTATTCACTATTGTATCACAAGAGACCCGTCTGCATTTCATTGCATCAGCTCCCCCTAGTCAGATTGAATACTACTCACTGGAGATTCTACCAGGTTATATTTTTGAACATACTTATTCAATCGGTATGCTGAGCAATAATCCAAGAAATTGGATTATATGAAGAAAAAAAAAAAACTGTGGATTCAAGACTGGAGGGAGATTCATCAACAACCTGCAATATGCACATGATACAACGTTGCAATGGAAGACAAAATACTTACTGGATTGCATCTCAATGTAAAGCAAACAAAAATCCTCACCACTGGACCAATAAACAACATTCTTATCAATGGAGAAAAGACTAAAGTTGTCAAGGACTTCCTTCTTCTTGGATCAACATCAACACTCATGGAAGCAGCAGATGAGAAATCAAACGATATAATGCATTAGGCAAATCTGCTGCACAAGTCCTTTTTAAAGTGTTCAAAGACATCAGTTTGAGGAGTAAGGTAAGCCTGACCCAAGCCAAAGTACTGTCAATAGCCTTATATGCATGTGAATGTTGAACAATGAGTAAGGAAGACTGTAGAAGAATTGATGCATTTGAGTTACGTCTTGGAGAAGAGTATTAAAAGTACCACCGACTGCCAGAAGAACAAACAAATATGTGTTGGAAGAACTACAGCCAGAATGTTGTTCCTTAGATGCCGAGATGGCCAGACTTCGTTTTTAATACTCTGGACATGTTATCAGGAGGAACCATTCCCCGGCGGACATCATGCTTGGTAAAGTGAAGGATCAACAAAAAGATGAAAACCTCAACAAGCAATGGGATCAAGCTTAAAACCAATTATGAATATGGTGCAGGGCAGGGCAGTAGTTCATTCTAGTGTGCATAAGGTCACTATGAATCAGATAGGCGGCACCTAACACAACCCTAGTCCCAACCATGACCCTTAACAATAAATGAAATTCTAGGCCTAGCCTAGATCTAGCCATAGTTCCAACCCTTATCCTTACTACTTTCTCCTATACCCATCCACACCACCCACCGAAAGGTGAAGTGAAGACAGATGGACTAGCGACCTCAAGCCTCTGGGAACAACATGGTGCTTGAGTTCCCTGGACTTTCTTTTTGCTTCATTTTAGGAGGTGAACAATAGGCAATCCAGGAACACCAACAAGAACAGAAAAAAAAAAGCCTGCTTTCTAGCCGAAATACTAAGAAATGGTGGCCTGGCATAACAAAAAATGTTTTGATATTACCTACTACTATAACCAAATGCCAAAGAATGAACTGAGGCCCCACCCTGACCCATACCAGCAAGTTGAGATGTCAGGAAAAGCATTCACTCTCACAAGGTACCCAGCATCTCACCAAGTGTCAGAGAAGATCAGAAGGGAGTCTAAGAGTTTATTCTAGGTGGACCAAGCAAGTAAGGCGCTCCCTTCAACCTCCCATACGGTCAGCTGAGGTCATATAAGGAGCTGAACATTCGCCCCACCAGTAGTGAGGTGCTCCCAACCATCCGATACTAGCAGCAAAAGCCAGTGGGAAACTTCTGCCTTACTTGTCACTAACAAGATACCACCCCATCCCTTTTGTAGAAACAAAAGGGGGAAAAATTAACAGCTGAAAAATTTTAAAATTAGATACAGAGTCTAATAATACAAAACTAAATGTCTAGCTTTCTATTGGAAAATGATCATCATATCAAGAACAAGGAAGATTTCAAACTTGCTGAAAACAGACAATCAGCAGATGCTAACACTGAGGTAAAAAATGTTAGAAAGTCTGACAAAGGTTTTAAGGCAGCCATGAAAGATGAGCTTGATAAAAAGAATGACTAGAAACTTCCCAAAAGTAACAATACTTAGACCTACAGATTCGAGAAGTTAAGCAAATGCCATAATTAAACATCTGAAAACAAAAGGCATGGGGAAAGTCAGAGAAAAAACCCAACACCTTATATTGGTGAAAAGAGAACAATTAGAATGACAATAGATTTTTCATCAGCAATGAGAGCGGCCATAAAGAAGTAACACAATGCATATCAGGTACGGAAATCTAAAAGTAACCCTACATTCAGTGCAAATATCCTTCAGAATGTGAAAGAAAAAAATATTTTCAGATGATGAAAACTTTAAAAGACTGTGTCAACAGCACCCCTACCCTAAAGGAAGTTCTCTGAAGATAAAAGATGAAAAAGGAAACTTTGGAACATAAGAAGAATGTATGATCAACAAAAATATAGGTAATACAATAGGTTTTCCTTTTCCTTTTGAGTTTTCTACATTGTGTTTGATGGTTGAAGCAAAAATTACAACTGTCTGATACAGTTCTAAATGTAGAAAATAAGACAATTATAAACAGAGTAGGGGAAAGTTCCTATACTTCACTCAAACTAATAAGTGGTAATTCTAGTATACTGTAATAACTTATGTGTATATGTAATGGATTACCTAGAGCAAATATTGTACAAGTTATATATAAAAAATATACTCAAAAACAATCTAAATAAATAACTCTTTAAAATGTTCAAATAATTTTCAGCATGATATGCAACAGAAAACAAAAAATAGCAAAAGTAAGCCCTACCATTATCAGTAATTCAGACCTGCTGTACAAGACCTCTTTAAAATGTTGAAGAGCAAAGATGTCAGTTTGAGGACTAAGGTGCGCCTGACTTAAGCCATGGTGTTTTCAATAACCTCATATGGATGTGAAAGTCAGACACTGAATAAGGAAGATCAAGTACTTTCAATAACCTCATATGGATGTGAAAGTCAGACACTGAATAAGGAAGATCGTAGAAGAATTGATATAGTTGAGTCATGGTGTTGGAGGGGACTATTGAATGTACCATGAACTTCCAAAAGAATAAACAGATCTGTGTTGAAAGAAGTACAGCCAGAGTGCTCCAGGATGGCCAGACTTCATCTCTCATACTTCAGACATATTGTCAGGAGGGGCCAGTCCCTGGAGAAGGATATCATTCATGTTTGGTAAGATGGAGGGTCAGAGAAAAACAGGAAGACCCCCATTGAGATGCACTGGCAAAGTGGTAGCAGCCATGGCCTCAGACATAGCAATGATTGTGAGGTTGGCCCAGGACCAGGCATTGTTTTGTTCTGTTGTGCATAGGGTCGCTATGAGTCAGTACTAACTTGATGGCACCTAACAACAACATCAGTAACTACATTAAATATAGTCTAAATACACTAATTTAAAGGCAGAGATTAGCATTTAAAAACTTGACTCAACTATATACTATCTACTCACTTTAACACTGTTTTATTATTAAGTGCCATCGAGTCAGTTCTGATTCACTGCAACCCTGTACAGGGTTTCCAAGCAGCAGCTGGTGACCTCATGGTTAGCAGTCCAGTGCTTTTCCTACAGTGTCACACCAGGACTCCACTGAACACTGTTGCTGTTGTTGTTAAGTGCCGTAGGCTGGTTGAAAGTAAAAGGATGGAAAAAGATACCCCAAAAATTAATCAAAAAAGCAGGAGAGGCTTCTCAGAAAAAGCAGACTTCAAAGAAAATGAACAAAGGTAAAGAGGTGCGTTTTAGAATAACAGATCAGTTCATTAAGAAAATACAAACATCCTAAATGTATATGCACCAAACAACGAAGTGGTTAAAGAGTGTGAAAATCTCTCCAAACCATACATCCAACAAAGGACTAATAGCTAGACTATATAAAGAACTCTCAAAACTCAATCATATAAAATTAAACAATCTATTCAGAACATGGGCAAAAGACACAGACATTTCACTGAAGAAAATACGTAACTACATAAACTTTCTATAAAAGCCACTTAGCAATTAACCTGATACAAGTATACGAAAGGCATTCTGATTTTTTTCAACGAGCAACTCAAATGAAATTTGCTTCTTGGGTAAGTTTTGGGAAAGGGTCAATCCTGGTGATTTCCATTCCTGGCTCCCTGATTTTAAGAAATGCTTTAAGACCTTAGAATCCACCACAAAACAATGAAAGTCTGCCTTCTCCTGACAGCAAGCTTCTAGGGTAGCAACAAGGACAGGAGCCTACCTTGTCTGAGGCAGTACTGTGTGGAATGCTCTCTACTCCTGCCTCCTGCCCTAACCTCAACCTAACAACAAACACCACGCATATAAACAAAACCCCTTCCTACTCCAAATCCTATTCCTTCTTTAAGATCAAGATTTTTAAGTATCCCTTTCTCCATAAAGCTTCTCTTCCTTATTCCTTGCCCGTCACCATTCTGGAATGAATGCAATGGCATCCTCTAATATGGATTGCTGGTATGGCATTGTAAAATAAACACTTGACCAAAAGGTTAGTTTGACTGCAAGGTTGGCAATTCAAACTCATTAGCCACTCCTCAGAAACCTTATACAGGGTCGCTATGAGTCAGAATCCTAGTCTTGGTATGGTGCTGTAGGATCAGCCCTGGACTGCAAACCACAAGACTGGCAGTTCAAGCTCACCAGCTGCTCCTCGGAAACCCTATACAGGGTAGCTGTGAGTTGGAACCAACTTGACAGCACTTCACATTACCCTGGAGTCCTGGTGTGGCGCTGTAGGATAAGGCACTGGACCACAAGGTTGGTTTGAACCACAATGTCAAACGTTCAAACCTACCACTCATCTGCTCCTTAGAAAGCCTATACAGAGTCTCTCTGAATTGGAACCGACTCAATGGCACTAGAAGAGTTATATTCTGCCTGGTTCCATAAGATGCACAGTTGTGGTCGTTTTGGTAAGACACAATGCTAGAATACTCTGCTTTCCCAACTAAAAAGTAGCAGATCAAACAGTTCAATTGTTCTGTTGGCCCACAGTTAGACATACAAGGGAACCATGGATGGTCTGAGAAAATACACTCTTACCTGCCATCTCTGATGAGCTCTTCAGCTGACGCAATCAGCTTATTAAGTTTCTTCACTTGTTTATAGTGTACAAAACACCTTTTATGATCCTGGTCAAGTTTCAGACATTCACGAACTTCACTGATCATGTATTTAAAGAGAAGCAAAATACTCCAAGTCAAAATAATCGATGAATTATTTTTCCATAACACATACAGAAATCATAGTAAAATATATTTATAAATTTACATTATGCTGATTTACATAATTTTAATTATAACAGCCTTCCTACTTATTTTAATAAGCATACTTCATGTGGTGCTGTAAGATAAGCACTGGACCACAACGTTGGCTTGAAGCTCAAGGTCTGCAGTTCAAACTCACAAGCCGCTCCTCTGAAACTCTATATAGGGTTGTTCCAAATCAGAAATGACTCAATGGCACTTAACAACAACTTCTCACTTATCAACTACCTCATGATCTGACACTTTGCATTTACAATAGTAAAAAGTCTTCTATCAAAGTGCTCTGCACCTTAGCAACATACATCATGCAGTAAGGAACATGAAGGATGAGGTGAGGTAACTCTGGCTGTGAAGGTTAAGGTGAGGTGTTAACTTGGTTGGGTCCTGCTTTGGCAGTTATGCAGTGATAAAATGGGGCAGTTACATCATGATGCAGTCAGCCTCTGTTCTGGCAGAATGTTAACTTTCACACACTGACTGACCTGGTCACTGAAGCCTAACTCGGTAGATAAGTGAGGAGTGGGTGCATTCAGAATTAGACTAAGGTGGGAATAGCACAGGATATACAAATTGCCTTAACCATCATTAGGTTTTCAAGTAAGACTATCTTCCTGTCAACAGTAAGAAGATGATCAGATGTGTCTGCCAACAGCACTGACCTGAGGGACAGCTCATGGTCTCCTAACTGGTAATACAGGAGGCTGATTTTATAAAAGGCTTCTGTATTGTCATTCTTCAATTTCGATGCAGCTTTTAAATCACTTATAGCTTTCCTAGGCTCCCCTTCTTTTATAAAACATTCAGCTCGAAGTTCCCGTAATTCTGCATCCCAAACACAAACCTTAAGAAACACAAGAACTAGACTTTAAGAAAGAAACACAAGTTATGCACATTCACACTTGCATCTCACATATTTTTATTTACATTATTTATCAACATAAAACATCCTCAATTAATGTGAAAACTTCTAAATTACAAACAGTACTGACAAAAATGATAACCAGCTCAAAATAATTTCTCCAAATATAAAAATTTTAATGGGAGAAGGGACAACAGCAAGGACCCTTTCCTACATCCTTCAAGTATATAATTAAGAAAATTCAAAACAAAATTTACTATATAAGAGTTATTACCAAGAAAGCATATTTGATTTTGAAGAGAATATTCTATAACTAGGTTTCTGTACTTAATATTTCTGGTTTCTAATTAAAAAAAAGTTATCTAAGCTCTGAATTATCAGAATAATTTTATTCTAGTAATAACTACATAGCACTCTCTTACGTAAAATGTCACCTCTTTGAAATTAAATCCTCAATCAAAGGAAGAAAAAAAGAAGACACTATGTCAGGAAGTTCACGCAACCTTATCAAAAAGCCCACAGTACTTAGTAAACATGTGCTAAGCAGAACTGCTCCACTGAATTTTCTAGGTGCAGATGTTTCAAAAGCAGGTCACCAGGCCTGATTCTGAGCAACATCTTGTGGATTCGAACTGATACCATTCTGGCTAGTAATTGAGAATTTACTTATTTACACCACCCATTGACACTAGACATACACCCAAACACTGATCACTATGACCTGTATTAGTATCTTTGCATATTTCCTAAACATACTGGTTAGGTCACAATGAGTAGTCTAAGGAGCTCTGGTAGTGTGGTAGCTACGAATCGGGCTGCGAACCTCAGTGTCAGCAGTATGAGATTACCAGGTGTTCTGCGGGAGAAAGATAGGGCTTTCTGCACCCGTACCCAAGTGAATCCATTGGATCCCACCAACTCTTCTTGAGCCACCTTCCCTTGGAAACTTCTCACTCCTCTTTCCTCCCGAAAGTTACCCCATTCTTCAACCTCCAGTGTTTTCTTCCCCCAAAATGTAAAATTAATTCAAAACAGTAAAGCAAGAAATGCCCACCCCCAAAAACTGTAATTTCTATTCCATAGTACAGTTACAGATTCTGCTCAATATCAACACAAACTTGCACTCAGAGCTGAAGGCTCAAGGACCAGTGTACAATTACCCTGTAGTGGTTTTTTTGTGGTATATAAAGTACATATACGAAGTTAGTTTTTTTGTGATGTACAGAGTATACAGAGCATTAAACTGGTCACTTGCAATACTGAGCAAACTCACCTCTAAAATCTGATCAAGGAAGGTTATAGCAGCAGCATAATCTGCATCTTCAAAAGCGTAAAGAGCTTGTGAGCGTAAGTGCTGCATTTCATCAGACTTTACCAGTTGGGCCTGGGCTTCCTTTTCTTCATTTTCACTCGGATTAGATTTGAGCTGTAAGAATAACAACACATTAAACAGTGTTTCTGATCTCTTCATTAATATCCATAGCATGCACAAAAATCAGACATTTCAAATACTTAAAATTGACTGAGAAAAATCAGTAGACTGGCTGGTCCAATGACTTAACTAAGCACCATGTGAAGCGGCAGGGAAGGCATCTTTATTTCTGCTGATTGGTACACAAGGAGAAGAGCACTGGTGGCAAAGTGGGTTGTATTGGGTTGATAACCAGAAGATCGGTGGTTCAAATCTACTAGCTGCTCTGCAGGAGAAAGATGAGGCTGTCTACTCCCATGCAGATTTCTTTACAGGCTCAGAACCCTGAAGGAGTAGTTCTACTCTATCCTATAGGATTGGTATGAGTTGGAATGGACTTAATGGCAGTGGGGACTTTTGGCTTAGTATACAAGATTTACTCCCTTGTAAATCTTTGCTCTTGCAAAGATTTACAGACTTGGAAACTATATACAGGTCGCCATGAGTCTGAACTGACTCAACAGCGCTTAACAACAACACAAAAAAAGAGCAGTATCAAGACCTGGTTCCCCTCACACTTAAACGGAAGCAGATATACACAGGAATGTGAAAGGGCAGAAAAAAATGAAGAAAGGAAAGCAAATTAATGAGTTCTATTTATTTTGCCTTCTAGGTGTATTTCTTAAGAAGCCCTGGTAGGGTAAGTTACACGTTGGGCTGCTGCTAATTGAAGGATCAGCAGCTTGAATCTACCAGCTGCCACTCCGGAAAATGATGAGGCTTTCTACTCCTGTAAAGATTTCCAGCCTTGGAAACCCTATGGTGGCTGAATTGGACCAGATTTCATGGAACGCAGCAGCAGCAGTTATGTATTAACTTTTAAGTATAAAATAATTTTATCAGAACTGTGATTAGAAGTCTAGGGAAACTGTGTAAAGGGGGAGTTTATTAGAAAGGTTATGGACCACAGGGTCCGTGGTTCAAACTCACCAGCCACTCCTCAGAAACCCTATACAGGGTCGCTATAAGTACGAAACGACTCGGCACTAACAACAACAGCAACAATAATGCCTGCACCCAAAGTAGTAGCAGTCACTGAGAGATCAAAATGATACTGTATACAACACATACGTACTCAAAAGGATTCTATTAAAATGTCAAACTTCTGAAATAACATATGAATGAGTTGTTGAATGCTCTGTAAACTTTCTCTGTATTTCTCTGTAAACTTTCACCCAAATCACAATAAAAAATTTAAAAAAATATTTTTCTAACTTCGTTTCTGACCTTTCTATAATAAATTCAAAATAAGAACAGAATGCAAATTCTGATACTAAATGATATTTCTGAAAGATATAATACAATTTCAAAGGATGATCATACAGTTTCAAAGGATGATCAATTTTATTTCCCATTGCATTACGTACCAACCAACGTAAACTGAGTATTCTCTATTAAATTCACAGGTGCTAGGATAAGGAGGAGTCCTGGTGAGGCGCTGTGGGCTAATGTGTCCGACTGCAAAGTTGGTGGTTCAAGCTCACCAGCTGCTCCTTGGAAACCCTATACAGGGTTGCTATGGGTGGGAATCACCTCGATGGCACTTAACAACAACAACAAGAAGGATACAAAGTAATTTGGTAGGATAAGCACTAGACTGCTAGCCACAAGGTTGGCGGTTCAAACTCATCAGCAGCACCTCAGAAACCCATTCAGGGTCTATTAAGTCAGAACCCACTTAATGGCACTTAACAACAAAAATTAAAATAAAATTAGCACAAAATGCATTTGCTGAACTGCTTATGGATCAAGAAATTAGTATGTAGAGATATCATTAAACTTAATTTGTTTTTTGGGGTGTACGAAGCACAGATTTAAGGTTTTCAGTTGATGTAAGTTGATAATATGGGGAAATACGTAAACTTCAAGTATATAGAACACTGTCCAGTGACTTCAACAACATCCCTTCATGTATTATCTGTAATATCTGCTAAGAGAACTATATATAAAGTATATAAAATATATATAAAAAGTATTTTTAAATACTACAAATTGAATGGACAGAGAATGAGAGAGAACTAAAATATTTTTTAAATAACAGTATTCCAAGCCAGGTGATTTAGTATTCTTGAGTCCTTACATTTTTCTGGAGGAAACTAAAAATATTGATTCCCTTTCAATTTTATTATACCAGGATGCTAAAATTCCTGAGTGATAACTAAGAGAAAACTGTTGTTGTTGTTAAGTGCTGTGGAGTCTGTTCCAACTCATAGCAACCCTGTATAGGGTTTCCAAGAAGCAGTTGGTAAGTTTAAACTGCCGACCTTGTGGTTCAAATCGATCTTACAGTTCAGCGCATTACCAAGCAGAGGCACATGAAGCGTTGTTGAATGCTCTAAACTTTCACTCAAATTACAATACAAGATTTTAAACAATATTCTTCTAAATAATAAAAAATCTAAATCAATGGGGTAGAGAGATCAAGAGGAAGGGAGGAGTGGGGTGGGGTGGGATGATTAAAAAAAACAAATCATCGGATAAACAGAATCCAAAAGAAATATAGACAAGATATATAAAGTGGAATTTCTTATGTCAACCAGGTTAGCAAAACTTGTACTGTTCATTCCAAGCATGGCTGAAGATGGGGGACCCCTGAGATTTTGCTGTGCTGAGGTAGGAATGTAAATTAGCATAACCACTTAACAGGAAAGTGCCAGGCTGCTCTGCCAGCTTAAAACTGCCCATAACTTACCAAGCATCAACTACATCCTTAGATATAGGAGTATACCCTATAGCAGGGATTCTTAAAGTGTGATGGGGGCCGCTGTGAGTCTTAACACTCTTTCAGGGGTTTGTTCAGACAAAAGCATATATAAAAGGGTAACAGGAACCCACTCAAAGTCCAGATAAACCAATGGTACTAAAAGTTAACTGATTCGGCTCTACAAATATTCCTCGTTTTCCAACTGCGTGTCTGTGTAAGGCCACATTTTCTTATTATTCATCCAACAGAACATAATGCAACAGGTTGAGCACAGAAGCAAACACGAGAATCTGGTTATTTTCTATTAAGTCACACACCGATGACATTACGCTGATTGGACCAAGTGACTTTAGACTTATTGGTAAAACATCTGCATGCTGTTGTTGTTGTTAATTGCCACTGAGTCGACTCTGACCCATAGCAACCCTGTATAGGGTTTCCGAGGAGCAGCTGGTGAGCTTGAACCACCGACTTTGCAGTTCAAACAGCTTTGCAGTCTGGCGCATTAACCCACAGCACCACACCAGGACTAAAGGGTGGGAAATTAACCTGACAAAAATTCAGGTGCCTTCCAATTTAGTGAATTTCTAGGGGTTCAGTGGTGTGGGGTATGTACTAAAATGAAGGATAAGTTACTGCATCTGACCCCTCCCAAAATAAAAAAAGAGATAAACACACCTGGTGGACCTCTTTGGATTTTGAAGACAACATCTGGGTGTGCTACTCTGGTCTAGTTGTCAAGTGACTCAAAAAGCTACTCGTTTTAAAGTGGGGTCCAGAACGAGAGAAGGCTCTTCAACAGGTTCAGGCTGCAGTGCCAGCCGATCTCCTACTTGGGCCAGCTAATCCAGCTGAGCCAATGGTGCGTGAAGTGTCAGTGGCAGAGAGAGATGCAGTCTAGAGTCTTTGACAGGCCCCGATAGGTGAGTCACAGTGCAAAACCTTAGGATTTTGGAACAAAGCCCTGCCACCCTCTGCAGATAACTACTTTTAAGAAATAGTTTTTTTGGCTTATTACTGGGCTTTAGTACAGACTGGACACCTAACCAGGGGCCACCAAGTCACCATGCATCTGGAGCGATCCATTTTGACCTGGGAGTTGTCTGACCCACAGAGTCATAAAATCGGGTGTGCACAGCAGTACTCCATCATTAAATGAAAGTGGTAAATAAGAGACTGGGCTCAAGGAGGACCTGAAGGCATAAGTTGCATGAGGAAGTGGCCTAAAAGACCATGGTCCCCACTCGTGTCACATTACCTTCCCTCTCCCAGTCTACACTATGGCCTCATGGGGAGTTCCTTATGACCAGCTGACTGAGGAGGAGAACACTCACAGTGTCTAGAGATGGTTCTGGATATGCAGGTACCACTTGAGAGTGGGGGCTTCCCTGACGGAGAGTGGTGAAGGGAAACTCCCAATGGGCAGAACTTCAAGCAGGCAGTGCGCGTGACTGTTAATTCTGCTTGGAAGAAGAAATGGCCAGATATGCCAACTGTGTATTGATTCACAGGCTGTGGCCAATGATTTGGCTGGATGGTAAGGGACTTTGAAGGAACAGGATTAGAAAATTGGTAATAAGGTACAGGGAAGAGGAAGGAATGTGGAGACCTCTCTGAATGGCCAAAAAAAGTGAAGATTATCGGTGTCTCATTCATGTGAATGGTCCAAGGTTACCTTGGCAGAGGAATGACAGGATGACATGTGCTGTGGAACTTATCTCTACCACTCTTGGCACTGCCCAATGGGCTCATGAACATAAGAAAGTGGCCATGGTGGCAGGGATGAAGGTTATGCTAAGCGCTCAATCTGCCAGAAGCAGAAACCAACACTGAGTCCCAGTTATGGGACCATTCATCGGGGAGATCAGTCAAAAACCTGGTGACAGATTGATTACACTGGAACACTTCTATCAGGGAAAGGGAAGCATTTTATTCTTACTGGAACAGACGCTTACTCTGGATATGGAGTTGCCTTCCTTGCACTTAATGTTTCTGCCAAAACTCCCATCTGTACACTTATCTATCCACTATCAAGGTATTCCACACAGCATCACCTTGGATCAAGGGGCTTACTTCATAGCAAATGAAGTGCAACAATGAGCTCAGAATTCTCCTGTCTTACCGTGTTCCTCGGAGTCCTGGTGTGGTGCTGCAGGATAATGCGCTGGACTGCAGTCAGTTTGAGCCGCAAGGTTAGCAGTTCAAACCCACCAGATGCTCCTTGGAAATCCTATACAGGGTCACTATGATTGGAACTGACTTGATAGCACTTAACAACAACGACCACCATGTTCCTCATCATCCTGAAGCAGCTGACTTGATCAAAGGAAGGAATGCTCTTTTAAAGGCACAATTATGGCACCAGCTAGGTGGTAGTATCATCTTCCAGGAGGCTGTATGCTGTAAACCAGCATCCAATACACAGTGCTCTTTCTCCCGTAATCAGGATTCATGAGTCCAGGAACCAAAAGAGAAGATAAAACTGGCACTACTCACTATACACTTCCTAGTGACTCACCTGAAAATTTTTGGTTCCTGTAGCTGTGACCCTATGCTCTTCAGGTCTGGACATTTTAGTTCCAAAAGGAGGAATCCTCCCACCTGGAGACACAACACTGATTCTATTGAACTGGAAGTTAAGAATGTGGCCTGGCCATTTTGGGCTCCTCATGCCTCTTGATCAAGAGGCAAAGAAGAGAGTTATGTACTGGGTGTTGTGATTGACCCAGATTGCCAAGATCTGTTTTGGAAGAAGTGCAGCCACAGTGCTCCTTTGAGGCCTCTCATACTTTGGACATATTGTCAGGAGGAACAGTCACTGGAGAAGGATATCATGCTTGGTAAGATGGAGGGTCAGAGAAAAAGAGGAAGACCCCCCCAGTGAGATGGATCAGCCAGGTGGCAGCATTGTTGGACTCAAGTGTGGCAGTGGTAGTGAGGTTGGCCCAGGATCGGACATTGTTTTGCTCTGCTGTGCATGGGGTTGCTATGAGTCGGTTCCGACTCAATGGCACCTGACAACAACAACAACAGCCAAGGAGAAATGGGACTGACGTTACGTTATGGAGGTAAAGGCGATTTATGTGGCGCTCAAGAGATTCCATAGGATGTCTCTTAGTTCTACCTGCCCTCTGACTAAAGTCAATGGTAAACCAAATTTCAACATGACAACTAAAGGTACAGACCCTTCAGGAATGAAGATCTGGGTCACCCCACTAGGCAAAGAACCACAACCAGCAAAGGTGCCTGCCGAGGGCAAAGGGGGCAGCAGTAGACGAAGCTACAACCATGTGACTAGTAGCAGAAACAAGGACTCCAATTGTTAATAAGTACTTTTTCATGTAGGTGCACATCAAATATTTTTGCTTTGTTCATTTGTGAAATATAAGACTTAAATGGGGTCAGTGTGCTTTCAGTTGTGTGTTAGTTGCATGGTGTTAGGTGTCAGTATGGCTTTATAATTGTCTTATTTAGAGATTATGTATATGGTTTCAGTGACAAGTTGACACGGGGTGGATGTGACAGTAAAGGCTGTGCATCAACGTCACTGAGCCAGGATTCTCACTGGTCTGGCAGCTGAGATGTAGTTATCCCCCACGATGAGATCTAGTATGGTGTCATCAGTTCTATGATGAGGTCTGCTAGGAACAGTCAATTGAAAAGAAGTTTCCTCGAGGTACTGGGCTGCTTCCAATGTATTAGACACTCAGGCCAAGTGTGCTTACTCTCTGCTGGGTCTGGATTGGACATCTGGCTTGACTGCCGACCTCCCATTCGTTCAACTTAAGTCAGTGATCTTTTCTATTACCTGCAGATCCTAGGGATGCTCAGCAGCCTGCTTTTTTACCTGCCAAACCTGCCTGCCATCTGACCTGCTGCTCTTGGTCCACCTGACCCAGGCTTGGGACACTCCCACCTCTACAACTGTGTGAGCCATTCCTTGATACAAACTTCTCTTTCTATACACATATATACAGTTCACTGGTTTTGTTTCTGAGAAGAACCCAGCTAACAATACGAGGGGTGGGTGAGGGATAGAGAAGGAGTGTTCTTGCTTAAGGAGAACTTAGTTTCTAGTAAAAACCAAAAATCCAGACCCACTGCCATGGAGTCAAGGCTGATTGACAGGGACCCTGCACAGGGTTGCCAAAGCTGCAAATATTTATGGAAGCAGAAAAGCTCATCTTTCTCCCATGAAGGAGCTGGTGAGTTAGCAGTCCAGTGCTTATCCTACAGTGCCACTGGGACGTCTTGAGTTTCTATTAAGGAAATGTAAAAATTTAGAACAGAGGTAATAGTTACACAACATGTTGTGCATAATTAATGTCACAGAACTATACACATAAAAAATAGCACATGTTGTTTCATACATATGTGGTGGTTAAGTGTCATCAAGTCAGTTCTGACTCACAGTGACCTTATGTATTATTTCCAACAGCATTTCATAAATCTAATTAATAAATAGGATAAGTACAGGACTGCAATTGCAAGGTTGGTAGTTCAAACCCACCAGCTGCTCCCGTACAGGGTCATTAAGAGTTGGAACAACTCAACCGCATTTAACAACAATCATGACATACACAAAAATTCCAAAAACTTTGTTCCAAAAGGATCCATCCATCCAGTTGTCAACAAGAACTGGAAGGTGTCCTTACGTCAGTTCTAATAAGGATCAGCTAATGCTAAAATTGTATTCTCAGTTATTGTGTGATTTCTAAAATGTTACTCTCTAAAGTTGTGACTGGAAAAAAAATTCTAAGTCATGGGTTTAAGTATTTACTGAGGAGCAGAGCACAGAGTCTCATCTTTTATCACTAATTCTTACATTCCAACAGGCATCTCCACAACATTGGCTATGGACAAAGCACTGAGCTAGGGAGTGGTTACTCCAGCACGATCACCTCCTGTCTCCTATGCTGCAGAGGAGACTTTTATTAAGTGCTGTCTAGGCAGTTCCAACTGCAGTTCCAACTCACAAGGAGCAACTTGGAAGTTTGGACCACCGACTTAGTAATTCAAACCAACCTTGTGGTCCAGTGCTAATCCTACAGAGCCACACCAGAACTCCAGAGAGATTAGACAAACATAAACAATATCCAATTTTATTGAAGATCATGAAACAGTCTCTGATTTACTACAACAAAATCTAATGTTTATCTTAGCTTACTCTGCAGATGACTAGTATTGTGACAAGGGTTATAAAGAACAATTTCATTTTCATATTAACTAATAAGCACTATGATGGGAGTCCTGGTATGGTGCTGTGGGACAATGAATGCAATGAGCCACAAGGTCGGTCTAAAATGCAAGGATGGCAGTTCAAATCTACCAGCTACTCCTCAGAGACCCTATACAGGGTCGTTATGAGTCAGAACTTGAAGGCACTTCACTACAAGAATATATGTACAAACATTATATATATGTATGGTTGTGGGGGTTAGGTACTGTGGAGTTGGTTCCAACTCCTGCAGTTTCCAAGGCTATAGAAAGCAGAAAGATGTAGGGAGCAGAAACCCTCACATCTTTCTCCTGCAGAACTGCTGACCATGAGATTTGCAGTCCGATTCGTAACCATGCTACCAGAGCTCGCTTGCTCGCTCGCACGCTCTATCTATATATATGCATGATATATATATATATATATATATGTTGTTAAGTGCCCTCAAGTCAGTTTTGATTCATAGCAACCCTAAAGAGGGTTCCTGAGGAGCGGCTGTTAAGTTTGAACCACCGACCTTGAGGTTCAAACTGACCCTGCGGTCGAATGCTTATCCATACAGCGCCATATCAGGAGTCCATGTGTATGTGCATATATTGTTATTAAGTGCCAGGAGTTGGTTCCAACTTTAGTGACCCTATACAAGGTTTCTGAGGCACACCCAGTGGGTTTGAATTGCCAACCTTGTGGTTCACAGTCCAGTGCTGTTCCTATAGTGCCATACTTGGAGTCTATGTATGTATGTATGTATGTATGTATGTATCTATCCATCTATCTATCTATCTATATGGAATACTGGTGTGGCACTGTGGGTTACAGCACTGGACTGCAAAGTCAGTTTGAACTGCAAAGTCGGCAGTTCAAGCTCACCAACTGCTCCTTGGAAACCCTAGAGAGTTGCTATGGGTCAGAACCAACTCGATGGCATTTAACATCAACTATGTGTGTGTGTGTGTGTATAATTAGTATATATGCATATATATGTGTAGATATATTTGTGTCGCACAGTAGTTACAAGTCAGGCTGCTAACCTCAAGGTCCGCAGTTCGAAACTACCAGCTGTTATGAAGACGAAAGATGAGGCTTTCTGCTCCCATGAAGATTTACTGCCTCAGAAACCCTATGCAGGGTTACTATGAGTCAGAACAGACTCCAAAGTACTTTACAGTTTGCAAAGCAACTATAATGAATGATTGCAAAATTCCCTTTAACAATCAGTTTCATTATTCCTTTTAAAGCAAAGGGTTCCCAAGTCACTTAGAGGCCTTGAGAAGAACTCAACTGACATCTCTATATTCTCGTGGAGCCACAGAAGCTGCATTAGTAACATACAGCTTTCTTTAGTACCCTGAATCTTTTCTCTGCTATGCTTCTTTAATATTATTTCAGAAACTATGATCCTTATAGAAACAAACTGAACTGGAATTTTCCCTTTTAGCTAAAAATTACTACACTAAATAGTCTTAATACAAAAAAATAAGTGCAATGCATTCATGCAAAATGACATCATCAGAGACAAGTACAAATTCAACTTACCACTTTCTTAAAATCTTCTTCTGCTTCATCCAGCTTGCCTTGTTTGAGTAACAAGTGGCCTCTCTGTATTCTTGCCTACAAAAGAAAGGGGGACGGTCATTCTAAGTAGTAAGCATTTCCAAATTTCAATTAAACACAAAGAATAAATCTAACAAATTAATACAATTATTAATGAAACATTTATTTTCCCAGTGCCCACTTGTTTGACTTGGCACTCTGAGAATAATTCCTAGAGGCAATGAATGTGTGTAATATTTATTAAAGTATACTTTCTCTATAAAACTTGTTGCTACAAGAGAATTGAAAACATACTGTCGAAATAAAAGCTTGTATAAAAATGTTCATAGCAATAGCCAAAAAGATGACATAACTAAAATGTCCATCAACTGAAGAATGAACAAACAAAATGTGGTCTATAAAATGAAATTTTAAAAGGAATAAAATACTGATGCATGCTAAAATATGAATGCATAATCTCAAGAACATTATGCAAATTGAAAGAAATCAGAAACAAAAGGTTATATATATAAATTATATGATTCTATTTATGTGAAATCACTGGATTGCAAATCACTAAGGTCAGCTGTTCAAGCCTAATGGTCACTCTGTGGGAGGAAAATAAAGCTTTTCAGTCCCACAAAGATTTACAGCCTTGGAAACCCTATAAAAAGGTCACTATGAGTCAAAACCAACTCCACAGCACTTAACAACATTTATATAAAATATCAGAAAACATACAAATGTCAAAATTGTCAAAAACTGCAACTCCATATGAGTCAGAGTAGAGCTGTTTGTCTCTCATAGGGTTTTCAATGGCTGCATTTTCAGCCAGGATTTTCTTTCCAGGCACCTCTAGGAAGAGGCCTCAAGCTGCCAATCTTTCCATTAGTAATGCTGTATGCTATCTGTTTGTGCCACCTCAGCTTGTTATGAAATTTCCAGAACAGGCAAATCCATAAAGACAAAAAACAGATGGGTAGCTGAAAACCTGTGGTGACTAATGAAAAGCACAGGTTTCTCTGGGGAATAATAAAAATGTTCTGGAATTAGAAAATGGCAACGATTGCACAACCTTGTGGAAATACTAAACATCACTGAATTACACACCTTAAAAGGTGAATTTTATAGTATGTAAATTATAACTCAATTTTTTTAAAAATCTCATTTTTACAATCACAAACACTTTTTTGCCACTACCATAAAAGTTGGGTAATATGGGACTTGTGGTATGGTGATTTTACTAAATACACCTCTTCTATCATTGTCTTCGTAACTCCCACCAAATAAATGACTGGGTCGTGGTCGTTGCTGTGTACTGAGTTGGTTCCAACTCACAGTGACCCCGTTTAGGTTTTCCGAGACTGGGAACAGAAAGCCTCCTCTTTCTCCAGCAGAGCTGCTGATGGATTCGAACTGCTGACCTTGAGGATAGCAGCCTTTGCTTCTAAATAATTGGGTGGGACAATGCAAAACGGAGTGTACAGAACTGGCTGGTTTTACCATTGCTCTGGGCTTAAAGCAGCAATACCAGAATCTCAAGGCCATCAAGAAAGAAGAGCAACAGATCCTTCAGCTCCCAAGACCCTTGAGTGGAGAGGCTGCGGTGGCAGAGGCAGCAGCACAGGCAGAGGCTCCGAGCCACAGAGCAGTGGACTTCCCCATCTAAGGACCAGTTGAAGCTAAGGGCCTTCTGGAAGGAGACTGGCTTCAGAATAAGGTGCCCTTTGGGCATTTATCAGCAGTGCTAAAGGAGCTTGTAACAACAGCAAAGAAGACTGAAAACAATTACAGACCCATGAAAAACATTAATTCCAAAGGACGAATGGACTACACAAAGTTCTGGTGTGGCACTGCAGGTTAATGTGCTGGACTGCATGGTCAGTTTGAACCACAGGTTGGTGGTTCGAGCTCACCAGCCACCTTCGGAAACCCTATACAGGGTTGCTATGAGTCAGAACCAACTCAACGGCACTTAACAATAACAACAGACTACACAAACCTCAGCTTCCACCACACTGAGACCAGAAATACCAGACAGTGCTCAGCTACTGCTGCTCTAAAAGGAATCACAAGAGGAGGTCCTGGACAGAACGGGAGAAAACTGTGGAATAAAACCCAAAAATCATGAAAAAGAGCAGGCTGGCTGATTGGTTTGATAAGAGACTGGTGGAGCTCTCAATACTGTGGTCTGTAGACACCTTCATGTCTGGAACTGAACTTACCCTGTGACTCAGTTTTTAGCCAAACAATAAGCAGACCTATAAGGTCAACAATAACAGCAGAGAGACAGACATTCTAGAACAATAAAGGCAGCATTTGCCGAGAGGTACAGCACAAAAGGCAGGAAGGCACAGGTAAAAAGAATGAACACAAATGTTGAAGGAAGAATGCTATCACACTGTAGGGATTGCAGTCAATATCACAAAACAAAATGTGTATAAACTGTTGAACAAAACCCCAATTAATTCTGTACACTTTCACCTAACCACGATTAAAAAGTTTAAAAACAAATAAAGGAAGTTTAGATACACTTACTGCAGTAAAATCCATCTTCAATTCAATCACTTTTGTTAAATCTGGAAGTGCTGCTTTGGATTTACCCATCGCTAAAAAGACAGTAGCTCTCCGATAGTAAGCAATATAGTTATCAGGGTCACCATCTAAAACGTAAAGGAATAAATATTATCTCTTAATTAATTCACTCAAAAACCAAAGATTTTAAATTCTATTAAGAAAGGCTTTCCTCATCAAGAACTGGGTCATTTTTGTCACATATATTACCACAAATAACTCTAAAATAGCAAAATCTTATCTAGGCAAATGAATCTAGGACATGGTCAACAAACTAAATATCTTGGACCAAACCTAGACTCCAAGCTAAAAATTATTTAAAGAAACAATGTTATTGCTGTTGTTAGGTGACACAGTCAGTTCCAACTCATAACAATCCTACGCACAACAGAACAAACACGGCCCAGTCGTGCGCCATCCTCACAATTGTTATGACACCCACCTCCACTGCTGCTGCCACCATGCAAACCCTTCTGATTGGGGGGGTCTTCCTCTTTTTCTCTGACCCTTCGCTTTACCAAGAGTGATGTTCTTCTCCAGGGACTGGTCCCTCCTGATAACATGTCTGAAGTATGACAGATGAAGTCTCACCATTCTGGCTTCTAAGGAGCATTCTGACTGGATTTCTTCCAACACAGATTTGTCTGTTCTTCTAGCAGTCCATGGCAGTTTTAACATTCTTCTCCAATATCATAACTCAAATGCATCAGTATCTTTACAGTCTTCTTTACTCGTTGTCCAACTTTCACATGCACATGGGGCTACTGAAATTATCATGGCTTGGATCAGGCACCCCTTAGAATACTCATTATCCATAATGTTGTCCATAGTTTTTCATGATCCACACAGTTAAATACCATTGCACAGTCAATAAAACACAGGTAAACATCTTTCTGGTATTCTCTGCTTTCAGCCAACATACACCTGACATCAGCAATGATGTCCCTTATTCCACATCCTCGTGTGAATCTGGCTTGAACCTCTGGCAATTTCCTGTCAATGTACTGTTGCAGCCATTTTTTAAGTTATCTTGAGCAAAACTGTACACACTTGTAATATTAATGATACTGTCCAATGATTTCCCAATTCCAGTGGGTCACCGCTCTTTGGAATGGGTACAAATATGGATCTCTTCCAATTCAGGTAGTGGTCTTCCAAAGTTATTGGCATAAATGAGTGGGTGCCTCCAATGCTGCATCAGTTTGTTGAAAGATTCCAATTGTATCCAATCAGTTCCCATTGCCTTGCTCTTTACCAGTGCCTTCAGTGCGCCTTGGCATTCTTTCTTCTATTCATCTTGATCATATGCTTTCTCTTGAAATGGTTGAACATAAACTATTTCTTTTTGGTACCATGAATCTGTATTCCTTCCATCTTATTTGATGCTGCCTGCATCATTCAGTATTTACCCAAAGAATCCTTCAATATTTCAAGTCTAGGCTTGAATCATTTCTTTAATTCTTTCAGCTAGAGAAATGCTGAGTGAGTCCTTCCCTTTTGGTTTTCTAACTCCCAGTCTTTGCACATTTCATTATAATACTTGACACCATCTTCATGAGCTGCCCTTTCAAATGTTCTGTTCAGCTTTTTTACTTCATTTCTTTCACTTGCTTTAGCATCTCTAAACTGGAGAGCAAGTTTCAGAGTCTCTTCTGACATCCAGTTTAGTCTTTCTTTCTTTCTTGTCTTCTTAATGACCTTTTGCTTTCTTCCTCTATGATGCTCTTGATATCACCCTACAAATCTTCTGGTCTTCTATCATTAATGTCTAATACAACAAATCTGTTCCTGAGATAATCTCTAAAATCAGGTGGGATATATTCAAGGTTAGGTTTTAGTTTTCTTGGACTTGTTTTAATATTCTTTAGATCCAGCCTGAACTGGCATCTGAGCAAACTTTAGTTGATGCTATGAAGCGTTCCACCATCTCTTCACACAGATGTAGTCAATTTGATGTCCGTGTATAAACATCTGGTGTGGTCCATGTGTGCAGTTGTCTTTTATGTTGTTTAAAAAGGTATTTGCAATGAAGTCATTGGTCTTGCAAAATTCTATCATGCAATCTCCAGCATCATTTCTATCACCAAGACCATTTTTTCCAACTACTGATCCTTACTCTTTGCTTCCCACCATTGCATTTTAATCACCACCAGTAACTATCATTACATCTTGATTACGTTTGATCAATTTCAAACTGGTAGAATTCTTCAACTTTATCATCACTGGCTTTAATAGTTGGTGTATAAATAATAGTGTTATTAAACAGTCTTCCATTTAGGTGTATGGAAATTATCCTATCACAGACAGCATTATAATGCATGATAGATCTAAAACGTTCTTTTTGACAATGAATGTGATGCCATTCCTCTTCAATTTGTCATTTCCAACATAGCAAATCATGATTGTCAGATTCAAAATAGCCAATACTTGTCCATTTCAGTACACTAATGCCTAGGATATCCATCTTTATGAATTCCATTTCATTTTCACAACCTCCAACTTTCCTAGAGTCATACTTCATACATTCCATGTTCCAGTTATTAATTGACATTTACAGCTGTTTCTCCTCATGTTGAACTGTTTCCCATGAGCAAATGAAGGTCATGAAGTCTTTACTCCAGTCACGTCATTAATGGTCAACTCTACTTTGAGGAAGCAACTCTTCTACAATCATATTTTGAGTATCTTTCCATGTGAGTGGTTCATTTTACAGCAATATATCTGACAATATTCTGTTGCTATTCATGTTTCAATAGTTAATATTCTGCTGCTGTCTGACAGTGTTCCACTGCTATTCATAAGGTTTTCAATGGTTAAACACTCAGAAGTAATGCTATCTCTTCTTCCTAATCTGTCTTAGTCTGGAAGCTCAAGTGAAAACTGTCCACCATGGGTGTTCTCTGCTGGTATTTAAAATACAAATGGCATAGCTTCCAGCATCGCAGCAACACACAAGCCACCAAAGTACGAAAAACTGAAAGACTAGTAATGAAAAGAAACCATAGGGGAAATAAAGTAAACGGACTGTTTGGTCTAAAACATATACTATACTATATGACCTTTTACATAAAAAGGCTTACCAATCCCTGATCTAGAACATTAACTATATTACACTCATTACCTTTATACTATGCAAGCCAGTCTGTTGTCTTTGTCTCTGCTGAAATGTCAGTGAAATTCTGATTGAGAAGGCAAATTATTTACTTATTCACAAGATTATAGAAAACTAAATTTATAAACTAAATGTGCCAATCTCTGTTCCACATAAACTTCACTTTAATATGGAGTTGTAGCATAGGCACTGGACTGCAAAGTCAGTTTGAACCTCACATTTGGAGATCAAACACAGCAGCCACTCCTCGGAATTCTTATACAGGGTCCCTAAAAGCAGGAATGAACTCCATGGCACTAAGCAACAACAGAGAAATAAAAGTAAAAATCACCAGACAAAGAAGAAGAAGACTGAAATAAGACTGAAAATGAGACGAGTTGTTAACATTTCACAGAAGGAAAATAAATGCATAAGTTAGGTTTCTGAGATCATTCCACTGCTCAGCATCTACAAAGTGGGAAAGGAGTGAATTCCATTACAGTGAATGTAATTAGAAGCAAACCTTACACTTGCAAAATCTCAAATAGGTTCAGAAATGGGAGACCTAGACTCCAGGTTATATGACGAGGCTGAAAAAAATATTATGAGTGCTATAGAATCAGCACTGGACTGCAAACCACAAGGTCAACAGTTCAAACCCACCATCAGCTCCTCGGAAACCCTGTGCAGGATCTCTATGAGTTGTAATCAACTCAATGGTACTCATCAACAACCCCTCATCTTGGAAGAGCAGCAACTCCACAGGCTAAGCACTGGACTAGAAACCACAAGGCTGGTGGTTCGAGCCCATCAGCCACTCTGTGAAAGAAAGATGAGGCTTTCTGCTCCCTCAAAAAGATTTCGATCCTTGGAAACCTTATACAGAGTCACTGTGAGTAGAAACCAACTGGACAGCACTTGAACAGCAACAGCAAGTTGATAACATTTGTGGAGACATTCATTCTCAGTTACTTCACTATCAGTTTTCAGATATTTTAAAGTAGGATTGGAACCCCAACTTACAACACTGAACCTACAAAACTAAGGAATCCAGTGACAATATCTCCACACATGAACGAGAATCAATGTGCTTAGAGGCATGGAATCACGTGCATCACATATCAAAAGAGCCTCCCCTGGCTCTTCATCTTAAAACAATCAGTTCCTAGAACTAGAGTCTTCCTATGTGATTGCTATGACACAGCCACTGACCTAGAGCTGGCTTCATGTTGACTTTCTCTCAATACAACATTTGAACACACTGAAGATAGTCTTTTTTACTCCTATCCATCCAATACCGTACATTACTTAAATAGGATAAATTACTTGCAAGCCTACATATAGAAATACTGGACTGCATTTAAAAATACATCTTGGCGCTGTGGGCTAATGCGTCAGACTGCAAAGTCATTTGAACTGCAAGGTCGGTGGTTCAAGCTCACCAGCTGCTCCTTGGAAACCCTATACAGGGTTGCTACGGATCGGAACAGACTCAATGGCACTTTACAACAACAATAATCATTATAGCACTTTATTAAATATTTGAACATAAAAATGAATTTAAAGTCTACTTAGAATTCTAAAACCATCAAACAATCAAATATGAGGAAAGTAGCCCTCATTAAGAAAATACGATGACTCTCTGGAGAAAAGGCATCAGACCATCAGTTACAAATGATGTTGAAACTGGTTCGTGTGATGCACAGGGAATAACACCCATACCTGGATGCAGAACTACTTTTATTCTTGCACCTGACTAGCCCAGCTCTATCCCTACATTCATTCATACATTCCCTGAGCACCTACCATAGCATCTACCCTCAGAAGGGCTGCAATCTTTTAACCTGAATTGTGGCTTTTGGAAAGTAACTGGAGCACTCTTTACATCTTTGAGTCTAAATGTACATAGTGATGCTCGTTCCCCTTTCACAAGTGAGGCTTCAATGTCATGAGAAAGCATCACTATCTGTTTCAATGGCAAATAAACGTAGACATAGATGGTGTCTTTGTACGCAGCAGAACTATGTGAGCATGACACTTTTCTTACTTATGTAAATGGAGAAACTTATCATTTCAGAAATGCCCACCATTTAATTATCTTTTACATGTACATTCAAGCCAGATACACCTAAGTCACTTCTAGTATATTGGAAAAATGGAGCGAGACCCATAAGACCATGGTACAGGAAGGAGAAGTTCGTACCTATATTGTGGTTCTCTGGAATTATAAATCTCGGAACAAAACTTGTAGCTGACTAGCTCATGACATTAAAACAGATAAAATTGTTTCAGAAACCTATTTTGGAAAGTGATATTTAATCCTTCCTTAAATCACAGATTCTAACAAATCAAGAATATTTCCCAGTCTCTGAGTTATAAAGTATTAAAATTCCTGCCAAACAAAAATTAAATGTATGCCAGAAACAAACAAAAAAATGTATACCAAATCATTAATATCTGTGCCACAATGTAGAAACATTTATTTATGTTGCTATTGCTGAGTTTTAAATATATAAATCTTTCATTGTGTGAAAATGTAATTATAAAACATTGTGCCCAAAAAAGTAGGTTTTCAAAACAGAAGGGTGTCACAGCTATAAATAATGTCAACTATAACATTATAGTAAAAAAATGAATGTTACAATATGATTCACAATGTTTCTATTACAACCTTTAAGACTGATTTCCTAATTACAGGAGAAGTTAAAGAAATTAAATAACAAAAAAGTTAGAAGTTGAACTGAACAAACATTTTAATGATTATTTTTAATGTAGTCACAGCTTCACACAGTGTATTAAAATATCGATGATACTTCACCACAGAGGATGAGCACTAATGTCTGCTTACATTTTTTTAAAAACAGCAAGAGCTGTACCACGTACAGCAATAAAAGAAAACCTGGATCAGAAGACAGGTAGTGAGGACCTGAGAACACAACAACATACAATCATCAATCCAACAGATATACAACGACACCGCAATGTCTCAGAGAAAACAGGCAATTTCAACTTAAAGATACCAAAATACAGAGTCAGAAGATATAGATGAGAAATGGAATCAGAACAACTTGATAAGGAATTTAAAAGAATGATATTTCGGCACCTTCAATGAATTAAGAGAATGATTGAAGTAAAGAGAAAAAAAACAAGCTTTAAAGAATTCAGGAAAATACTGCAAGAAGAAACTGATAAAAGAAATAAAAAATTGGAACCCATATAAAAACAGTATACAAAAAAAGCCAGAAAAGTAACTCTAAGAATTCAGAAATAGATAGTACACTTGAAAGGGCAAAAAAGTGTAATTCAATCAATGGAAAGCCCAGCTTGAAGACAAATCTCTGAAACCTAATCTGATAGCGGAACAATCAGTAAAAATAATTTTAAAATCCAAAGAAACCCTTGTGGGACAATATCAAGAGGAATAAGTTACCTGCGAATGGAATTTCAGAACTAGACAAAAAACATAAGAAAGGAAATTGTCCAAGACTTGTGGATGAAAGAAAACTTCACTAACATGAAAGACAAGTAGATAATCTTTCAAGAAGTTAAACAAATTCCAAACATGACAGATCCAATAAGAATGTAAGAAAATCACCAAGATTGATAAACTTCAAAAACAAAGTAAAGCAAAAAATCCTAAGAGCAGCTCCGGAAAAACACAAAGTTACCTACAAAGGAGAACTAGTAAGACTAAACTCTGATTTCTCAGCAGAAACCATGCAAGCAAGAATACAAAAGGTATAACATATATAAAACTCGAAAGAAAAACAAAATGCCAACCAAGAATCATATATCCAGCAAAACTGTCCGTCAAATGTAACACTGAAATAAGGCACTTCCAAATAAATGGAAATTATTAGAACTTGCAAAAATCAGACCAACCTTACAAAAAATACTAAAGGGAGTTCTTTGAACAGAGAACCAACAATAGACAACAATCTGACACATTATCAACAACTTGGATGACAATATGACCCAGAACTCAACAAAGATGTTGTTGTTAAGTGCCGTCGAGTCTATTCCGACCCACAGCAACCCTATATACAGTTTCCAAGGAGCAACTGGTGAGCTTGAAGTATTCAAAGTATGTAGAAGTATTCACAGTACAACAAACCCACAAGACAGAAAATAGGTAACCAAAGGTAACAGTTTGCACTACCAACAGCAAAAATAGTAATAATGTAGTTACAAAACTTTAAACTGTAAGGAAACCAAGTAGATTTCAAGAAAAAACATTAAAATAAACCTATCTATAACCTTAAAATTAAACCAAGTCTTACCCCTAGCCCAACCCTACCCTTAACACTAGCCTTAGTCCTAACTATATCCTAACATTAAATGAAGTCTGAGGCCAGCTTAGACCTAGCCTTAGTACTACTAACCATACCACCTCCTTACTCCTAACACCTCCTGTCGCACCCCCTCTTAAAAATAAAGAATAACTGTTTAGTGTAGAAATCAGAGATCTGGATTTGTTATCTGGAGTGATTAATATGGCCATACTAAAGATAAGACTTTTGCTAAATGAGACAACTGAAAAAGGATGTATGTTCTTTCTGATAAACACACATTTTGTAAGAGATTCAATAGACTTTAACACCACTCCATTACTACCTACTCCATACACCCAGTGTATATGGATATGAATGCTATTTTCTACAGTTTCTTATGAACAGTGTTTTACAGAAACTGAAATTATAAACATTCTGAAACAACCCAGGTCTTCTTCAGTAATAGTAAAGTACACCCCATTTGAGAATCACTGTTACTTGCCAAAATTATAGTTCTGAATGAATGCACCAGCAGTGTCTCAGTGTCCCGTTACTGAATCTCACATATAAATGTTTCCATTTACACGTTTTTCCTTCAAGACAATATTTTACTAGGTATTCTGGAGAACCGCCAATCAAGAATTCTTATATTACACTGGGGGCACTGAAGATAAATAGGCAGTTGTTTTCTACTAGTTTCATAATATGTCCTTAGTGTTTCTGCTAAATGTGAAATTAAAGAAAACAAATAAAATTCAAAATAGGTAGAAGGTATAAAGTTCTGCAAATATTCTGGTGGTAGTGGTGTGCCATGGAGTCAGTTCCGTCTCATAGCGATCCTGCATAGGGTTTCTGAGGCTGTAATTCTTTATGGGTGCAGAAAGCTTCATTTTTCTTCCATGGAAGGGCTGGTAGTTTCCAATTGCTGACCTTGGGGTCAACAGTCTGACTCGTAGCCACTATGCTACCAGAGCTCCATAATTCTGGTGGTAGTTGAGAAGAAACAATATTTAGACATATTTTAAAACAACAGAAAATGTTTAGATTTAATTTTTTTTTTAAATTACCAGTTGCAGCATTAAGGTTAGTTTGAAGCATCAGAAAGAATGGACTTCATAATGAAGTGGTCATGCATTAAGTGGCCAGTAATGAAAACTACTGGCTCTGGTAGCGTAGTGGTTATGAATCGGGCTGTGAACCTTAAGGTCAGCGGTTCGAAACTACCAGCCGCTCCGCGGGAGAAAGACGAGGCTTTCTACTCCCGTAAAGATTTACACCCTTGGAAACCGTGTACAGGGTCGCTATGGGTCGGACCCGACTCGATGGCACTTAACAACAACAACAACAATGAAAACTATTGTTAACTGTTATGTCAAGTGACTACTACGTCTCAAAGACAAGTGATGAATCACTGAATCAGCAAAACATTTCCTAGAGGAAGTTCCACATAGTTGAGAAAACCTATTGACATAACAAATCTGTTTTTAGAAAAGTCTTTAATTTTCAGAAACACAAAAATTAGATTTGTTTTTACATACCATACACATAGGAGCGAACCCTGTTTTCAAACCTCTATGTTCATTTTTCTCATCCCATCATTACAAATATTCTACTGGGTGGCAGAGTGAAAACTGCTGGGAATTGATTTACCATTTTTTAACATAATTTGGCCAATGTCAAAGGTTATTCAAGTGACAAAGCCAAGAATAAAATCTAGACCAATAACATCAATAATAAAAATATGAGCTGAGGAAACAACCTAAGTAAAGATATTGCCAAATCAAAACCTAAATACCTTTGTTTATAAAGTACTAAAGGGCAGTAATTCTTCTGGCAAGCAAAATCCCACCTCATTAAAAATACAGACATGTCACCCTAACTATTCCAAACAATAAAAAAGACTCAAGAAAGTCAGTATCAAAAAGCCCTAGAACAAGTTTATGCATTTATTCACAGGCCAACCTTTCAAACCCTCACTCAGAACTTCTTAATCCTGGTCACCTCATTTCTCACAATCACGATGAATTAAAAACTGCACTGATAATTGAGAAGCCGCATGCCACAAAGAGATCCAGGTTAGCAGCACAAACCAACAGTTTAGGGGGCAATGGGGGTTTGATCAATGTTGAAGAAGTGAAAGTAAAGCAATTACTAGATTGATGATCTCAAGCTATCAAGAACATTAAACTATATTCAGTGAAATCAGCTGACAAAGATAAAACATATATTACACACTGAGGAAGTGTTTAGTCAACATTATCTTGAGTCATTCCTAGTACTTTATAATAAACTTCAATTACCTGGAAAATTCTCTCATATTAGACAGAGGTGCAGTAAAGTATTACATATTTATTTTATTAGTGTATTTCACCCAGAATCCTAGAAAAACTTGAAACATTTAAAACATTTAAACAACTAAATAATATTTAAGATGCAACCCAAAAAAAGGAGCTATAAGTAAGAATTCACTAAGACTGCCATTGAATATTTTGGTGCCAAGATACACACCTACTGCAGCATGAAACTGAGATAAAGCATCTGCTAACTGTCCAGCTGCAAGTAACTTCTTGCCCAATTCAAGATGTTTCTCAACATCTGCATTTACTCCACATTCAGCACCTAAAAAACAAACAACAAAAGAAGACGTTAACTTTGCACAACCCAAAATTTAATTCTAAAAAACAAAAAAGTTTTAATTATCTGGCTCAGTTTTTTACTCAAATGAGAAAAGTCCACAGAAGCTGAAAAATAATGTAGAGAATTAGAAGATAATGGAATTTTTCTATAAGCTTTTGAAAGCCCTGCCGTATAATATGGGTAAAATTGTGGAGAAAACATAAGTGAGCAGGGCAGTGACTCGAAGGAGCCTACCCTGTCCATCTCAGTAGCTCCCACAGGAACCAATCCTCTGGTGGAGGCAGAAACTAGGGCAGGGAGGCCAAACTTAGCCCAGGTCCTCACTCTCTCCCCTCCCAAGTGGATGACGACTAAACTATGTATTTGGACCTTTTCAAGCTAGGTCTGAGATGCAGCAGAAACAACCAATTGTGTTTATCTGGGGGAGTAGAAGAAATGGCCAGCAACCTAAGACAGACGGGTTTTTGCATCATCAGGTAAGCAGACTGGAGGGTTCTGAAAACAAGCCTCTCAGTCAGTGGTCATGCACTTTAACCATTGTGTCACTAGGGCTCCTTTCCCTACCACACACTCAAGTTTACAGATGATATAAAGTGATGAATGGGTTTGACTTCAGAATAATCCTGGAGAAGGAAATGAAGTACAGATAAAACAACCAGCTATGTGGTAATTATTTTTGTCCTAATGTGTTACTGTAGAAAAAGCACTGGACTGCAAGGTCAGTTTGAACTGCCAAACCGGAGGTTCAAACCCACCAACTGCTGCTTGGAAATCCTATATAGGGTGACTATGAGTCATAACCACTAGATGGCACTTAACAACAACAATTAAGGATTTGAGTCCTGGTGTGGCGCTGTGGGTTAATGTGCCAGACTTGCAAAGCCATTTGAACAGCAAGGTCAGTGGTTCAAGCTCACCAGCTGCTCCTTGGAAACTCTATACAGGGTCGCTATGGGTCGGAACCGACTCGACAGCACGTCACAACAACAACAACAATAATATTCTACTTTAGTATAGTTGTAAGTTTTTCCAAAATCAAGTTGTTGTTTGTTGATTTGTTTTATTCAAATCCTTATAGCAAAGAGAAAACTGCCTAATAAAAATTACTTCTTACTTGAAAAATACAATTGTTTCACAGGAAGCAGACCACAGGGGCTATATGATAACAGTCAACTGAGCACATGAGCTTACCATCCAATATGCTCAAATTTTATGTTACTAAATTGGTTTAAAGCAGGCAATCTGAGAGCTTTTTCTCCAGCCAGGCAGAGCTTAATTTCATCTTGTGCCTAGGTTTAAGTGTTCAGATGCCAATTTTTACTGAGTATCTCATGCACGGCAGATGGCTGAGCTGCCAGAGTTAGAAGCAGAGTGTATTTAAAAGTGGATGAGAGGCCACATCCCCATGGGCCTAGCAGGCACTTTCCTGGGCATGTCCCTTTAATGACTGCCTGAATGGTTTGATTATGGTATCATACCCCCAAGAGTCTCAGGATCATATCAGAGAGTCTCAGAGTGCTAGACTGCAAAGTCAGTTTGAACGGCAAGGTTGGTGGTTCAAGCTCACCAGCCGCTCCTCAGAAACCCTACACAGGGTCGCTATGGGTAGGAACCGACTAGATGGCACTTAACAACAACATAGTCTCCCGGACTCCTGGTGGGGTGCAATACGATAAACACTGGACTGCGAGGCACAAGGCTGGGGATTCAAGCTCATCAGTTGCTCCTCGGAAACCCTATATAAACCCTATACAAGGTCACTGTGAGAACCAGCTTGATGGCACTTCACAACACAGGAAGTCTCCGCATTTCCCTGCTTCCGGTTGGCTTCACATGCAATGCAAGTTTTGGTTGTGGGAGTAAATTCTTTTATTGTCTTTACCTTGTAAAAAAAAAAAAAAAAGGAGCTCTGGTAGCGTAGTGGCTATGAATCAAGGTCAGCAGTTCGAAACTACCAGCCATTCCACGGGAGAAAGATAAGGCTTTCTACTCCCATAAAGATTACACCCTCAAAAACCCTATGCAGGGTCACTATGAGGCGGCACTGACTCCATGGAACTTAACAATAACCCTGTAAAAAAGTCAGAGTCCTGGTGTGGCACTGTAGGATAAGCACTGGACCATTAAGATCAGTTTAAACCGCAAGGTTTAAGCTGCTCCTTAGAAACCCTATACAGGGTGCTATGAGGTGGAACTGACTCATCAGCACTTAACAACAACAACTACTACATAAAAATTACCTGGTGGACGTAGAACTTTGAAAAATCAGCATGATGTCACGAAATTTCCGTCACCTGGGTTTGTTTGTCTTATCGTGTTTTTCACTCTTGTTTAAAACTTAATAAAGAGTCTCTATAAAATTTACCAGGCCTGGTGAGGCACTGTAGAAAAAGTACTGGACTGCTACTGAAAAAGTAGGTGGCAGTTCAAACCCACCAGCTATTCTTGGAAACTCTAGATAGGGCCACTCGAAACTGACTTGATAGCACACAAAATATTTGTATGTGTGAAGATGGGAGTGGGGCTCTTTTCTCCCTTTGTTGTCGGTGGTGTTAAGTGTCGAGTCGGTTCCAATCCATAGCAACCCTACAACAAAATAAATGCAGTAAATGCATAATCTCGGTAGAAAATAATTTTTAAGTAAGAAGGCTATTTAAAAAATTAGACAATTTTGCAAAATATGAAACAGGACTGGACTGATGGACAGAACCATATCCACAAACATTTCCAAGAGAAGTCAGCTAAAAGATGCCTACAGATGAGGAGTCTAAACTGTGGTATCAAAGATGAGGATGTCCTCTCTGCCCCCTCCAGTCAGACGACCAATCTTCTCTCACAATCAGCAGTCAGAGACTGGCAACGAGAAACTATGAAACACAAAAACCAATTCTGAAGGAACCTAACACCAAACAGAAAAATTAAGTAAACAAAAAGGAGGGAAACTCTAAAAATGAATATAACTGATACCTTTACAGATTCAGAAGAATACAGCATTGTTAGAAACAGACAATACAATCTATTCACTCACTACTCTAGCACTGGGAATGCAATGAAGAACAGGAGAGACTAAAAAAATTCAACTAGTAGAGTCCTGGTGTGGTGTTGCAGGGTAAGCACCAGACTGCCAATCACAAGGTCAGCAGTTCAAACCCACCAGCTACTCCTGAGAAACACTACATATACAGTGTTGCTGCGAGTCAGAACCTGAACCAACTCAGCAAGGAGAGTAATGCACACATGCAGATAAAGGGGCTCAATGAGTATGCCAAATCATGCCCAGGAAGGAAAACAAAGCAAGTGAAATGGGCCTAGAGGCAGGACGGAGCGCAACATCAAAGAATCTAAAGAGGATCCAGTAAGTGAAACAAGAAAGAAAATGGAGGCAAGACAGATTCTATCAGATGTGTCAAGCCAAGTGTAGAAAGAATATGCTCAGTATGTCTCAAGCTGAAAAAAATGAAGAAAAATCCAAGCCTCCATTTGAAATACTGAAGGATTCTATGGGCAAAAGGATAAGCACTGGACAAAATGTTGGTTTGAACCACAAGTTCAGCAGTTCAAACTGACCGGCCACTCCTCAGAAACCCTATACAGGGTCCCTATAAGTAGGAACCAACTCAACGGCATTTAACAACAACAACAATGGGCAGAATATTGAACAATGCAGAAGAGAAGACAAGAAGGAATTCACAGAGCCATTTGTACCAAAAACAAATGGATGATGTTCAACTATTTCAAAAGGCAGCATATGACCAAGAGCCAATAGCACTGAAGTAACAAGTCCAAGATGCACTGAAGGAATTGGCAAAGAACAAGGCTCCATGAATTGAACGAATACAAATTGAACTCTTTCAACAAACTGATGCAGCACTGGAGGCAGTCGCTCATCTATGCCAAGAAATCTAGAAGACAGCTAACTTGCCAACTGATTGGAAGAGATCCGTATTTGTGCTCATTCCAAAGAGGGGTAACCCAAAGGAATGCACAAATCTTGGGGTAATATCACATGCAAGAAAAATTTTGCTCAAGATCATTCAAAAAGGTTACAACCATACATTACTAGGGAACTGCCAGAGGTTCCAGCCAGATTCAGATGATGATGTGGAACAAAGGATATCATTGCTGACATCAGATGGATCTTAGCTGAAAGCAGAGAATACCAGAAAGATATTTACTTGTGTTTTATTGACTATGCAAAGGCTTTGGATCATCAAGCTATAGACAACACTGTGGAGAATGAGTATTCTGGAACACTTAATTGTGCTCATGAAGATCCTCTACAGAGACCAAGAAATAGTTGTTCAAACAGAACGGGGGGGGGGGGGAGACACGGAATGGCTTGAAATTAGGAAAGGTGTGCAACAGAGTTGTATTTTTCTCTCCATACTTATTCAGTCGGTATGCTGAGTAAATAATCTGAAAAGATGGATTATAAAGAACATGGCATCAGGATTGGAGGAAGGCTCATTAACAATCAGCAATATGCCAATGATACAACCTTGCTTGCTGAAATCAAAGAGGACTTAAAATATTTACTCAATGAAGACCAAAGACTACAACATGCGATATGGTTTGCACCTCAATTTACAGAAACAAAAATCCTTACCACTGGACCAATAAACATCACGATTAATGGAGAAAAGATTGAAGCTGTCAAAAACTTCAATTTGCTTGGATCAACCTCAAGTACTCATGGAAGCAGCAGTCAAGAACTCAAATGATGTATTGCATTAGGTAAATCTGTTGCATAAGACCTCTTTAGAGTGTTCAAGAGCAAAGATGTCAGTTTGAGGACTAAGGTGTGCCTGACCTCAAGCTATCATATTTTCAGTAGGTTCATATGGATGAGAAAGTTGGACAGCGAATAAGGAAGACTGTAGAAGAACTCATGCATCTGAATTATGGTATCATGGGCTTCTAGGAAAACAAACCTATCTGTGTGAGAAGAAGTATATATAGTCAGATGCTCCTTAGAAGCCAGG